TCTGGACTTGGTGGGGTAGTTGGTGGCCATCCATAAGTGTAAAAGAGCGGTTTAGGGCTTAGGGTTTAGGGTATGGTCCGTAAGGGGTAGCTCACGAAGCAATATTTGAGCCTTTGATTCCTAATGAACTTTGACAAAGAGATCAGGTCTCAGAATCAGAAGAGCAGCCAAGTGATCAAACTTAACCTTTCCTAGATTTCAGCTTTAGCTCTTAGAGCTTCAAGATTTCAAACTAGAGCTTAGGCCTCTTAACCTGATCTCCTGAGTAAGAGAAGTCTGCCTTGTTTTTCTAGGGTCTGGCATTCATTTTCTTTAAAGATAAGGGGCAGTGCTCTTGGACGCCTTATTTGACCACATGTTTTGTCTAAGTCTACAGGGCTTGCTGCAGTTTGTATACGGGTGTTGTTAACACTGTGGTTCTTGTTGTTACTGTTGTTGTTGTTGTTGTTGTTGTTGTTGTTGTTGTGGTCGTCGTCGTCGTCGTCGTCGTCGTCGTCGTCGTCGTCGTCGTCGTGGTGATTGTCGTCGTCGTCGTCGTCCTCGTCGTCGTCGTCGTCGTCGTCGTGGTGATTGTCGTCGTCGTCGTCGTCGTCGTCGTCGTCGTCGTCGTCGTGGTCGTCGTGGTGGTTGTCGTCGTCGTCGTCGTCGTCGTCGTCGTCGTCGTCGTCGTCGTTGTTGTGGCTCTTGTCGTCGTCGTCGTTGTTGTTGTTGTCGTTGTTCTTGTTACGCTTCTTGTTATTGCTTGTGGCAAGCCGTCTGCTCATCCTGTTATCTTTTTATCAGTTGCGATACAAAGAGCAGTTCGCACTTGCTCAAAAGACGGAAGACCGCACAAAGAGTTAGGATAACATCCCTAGACCCTTCCTGTCCGGCGCCGCGACCTCAGAATTATTCATCTTTTCTGTTGTTTACTTTTGTTCGCACAGGGCTCGGATGGCAACGCACGTCGTATGTCTGGCGCAAGGCCATGCGCAATTTGTCTTTGTCCGTCCTCTCCGGAAAATCTGCGTGGGCCGACATCACTGAACAGGCTGTGTGGTCATGTTTGAGAGACGCAAGCTACACCAGCCTTTTTCTTCATTGCCCCGTTTACCAGTTTGACAGGAACAGGAGAAGGATCGCGCCGATTACATGAAACGTCATTGCCAACTTATGCTGAAAGCTTCCGCTGCGCCCCTGGTCTTTCGCAGTGTCGCCGCGCGATGAACCATACTCGTTTTTTTCCGCCGGGTTGACATAATCCTCAGGTTGGCTGCATCGTTGTTGATTCAGCAGGGCCCTTGTCGGGGATCTTTTTCTTAACTTCTCCAAGCACTGCCCAAACAAAACTTCCCTGAGGCCTTGTGCCAGCCTACCACGGCCTCGGAGGCGGCTCCCAAAGATGTTCTGTTCAGACTGCCTGGTTTTCTTGTCTCGTCGCCGACAGTCTACTGAGGAGATTACCACGGTGGTCAAGAAAAGAAGAACCCTTGCAAAACCGTGGAGACCCAAGCGCTCATCGCCGACCCAGGCCAAGACCTCGTGCTCGTACAGTCCCGCTCGCGTGCTCCCGCTATCAGTTTTATCCGCAGGCAACCGCCCACGAAGCAACGTTGAAGGTGCGCGCAGATTCTGTTCTCAGTATACCCAAACCTGAATCACGCGTAGCTTCGTCCAGGACAAAGATGACGATCGGCTCATGCCTCGCTGCAAAGGCTCTCTGTCTGTCATGCGCAGAATTACCGCACATGCATGCCGGCAGGGAGACATGTTGAAGGTATCGCTTTCGTGGACACTGCTGGATTAAGGCATTGCTGTTGTCCCTGCGTTTAGGAGTTTGAACAAAAGTTGCCCGGACTCTACTTGCAGCTTTGCTGGTGTCGAGGCCTCAAATCTTTGCACCCTTGAGGTCTCGCCTGCATGTGCGACATGTTCTTTGACATCCAAGGTGATTCCAAGACATGGGGCCGCGCCAAGCGCCAATGGCGCAAGCGCCAGATCGCGTGGCAGTCTGCCCCGCGTTTCATGCGCACATGCTGTCGCCCACGTGCTGCCGTGCCTTGAACGCGTGCTGCATTCTGTACTGCCCTGTCCCCGTCTGTCGCCGACTTGATTAACCTTCTTCGGCTTCATGTCACTGAGAATGCTGTCGCGCAACATTGTTGGTGGATGGCAGCTGGAGACCTCACAGGCTTGCCAGGCGATGCTCTCATGCTTGCAGCTGTGAAGCAAGCCTTTGTAGCCGAGCTATTATCGTGGCCGGAGTGCCTGCAACTCTTGTTGGCCACCACCTGCACCTCTCAGGTCACCGCTGCCGTGAATGCGTTGCCGCAGTATTTTGCGCAAGGCCTTCTCATTCTCCATGACCCCGGCAGAACTGCGTTGCTCTTCTTGCCAAACCACGCTCCACGCGTTCTCCCTTTACATCAGGCAAAAACCTGGCTGACCCTGCGGAAAACTCCTGTGATGCTTTACACCGAGCTCGAAAAACATTGTGCCGGACACTACGTGGCTTGCCTTCCTTCCTCTGCGCTGCCGTGTAGGCAGCCCTCGCAAGACAGCAGTCCTTGCTGTCCAGAAGGCATTCCGCGTGCTACGCGCGTTGCGACACACATGACTGGGGGCGCTCGCTCCACGCCTTCACAGCCACGCTCGGCTGGTAATTCTCCAGCCAGGTCGCGGAGCCCCGTCCCACTTTCGCAGCCGCTGTCAGCTCCGACCAGACTTCTCGATTCCCCCAGTACTCAGGGCTCTTTGGCCGCCCGCCCTGCGCCAGGCCTTCCTCTACAAGCGCCGTTGCGAAGCACTCTGTTTGAGGAAGGTCTTGTTGTGCCTGGCGCGACCGGCAGCGTGCGCTACGTCAGCAATTCCTCCACCCTGCCTCCTGCCCAGCCAGATTCAGCGTCAACGGCAGGCCTTCATTCCCCGCCCGCTCAAGATTCCACGTGCTTCGTGCTGGCCGTTCCTGACAATGCGGCCTCACCGGCAATGTCCGTGCTTACAGCATCCACGGTACCCGTGGTTGTCGCTTCCCCGGCCACATCGCGCGGCCTCTTCTCGTCTTCCGGCCCAGCTACATGTGCTGCCCCACGTGCTGTTTTGGAAGCGTCTGCCATGCCAGACATCCCTCCACGGCCTTGCTTAACCGGTGATCCGTGCTACTTGATGTGTGTGAGCCCAACTCACTCCCAAGCAACCTTGGCACCGACCACAATTCTTGATTTCCCGAGCACCCAATGCTCATTGATGCTCATTGCCCGGCCGCCCCTTGCCAAGCGTACCTCAAGTAGCGTCTTTACCGAACACTCTGGTTGGGGAAGGTTTTGCAGTGCCTTGCGCGACCGCCAGCTTGCGGCGCGTCTCCGATTCCTTCGCCCCACCTTCTGCCCATCCAAACTCGGCAGTAGCTTCAGGCTTTCAGCCCTCGCTCATTCAACACTCCGGATGGCGTGCGTTGGCCGTGCCTCCAGACGAATCCTCGCCAGCGATGGCCGTGCCCGCAGCATCCACTGTTCCCGTGGTTCGGCCAAATCTTCCTCCAGCCCCTTCGCTGTTGCCCACCCGGCCTGCCCTCTGGCAAACATTGTTCACTGCAAGCGTTGCCAGGAGGTTGCTCACGCAGCCGCCGGCTGCACTGCGCAGCAGTACTTTCTTTGGTGTGCGGGTGTGGCAAATTCAACGGCTGGCGCCAATCACAGTCAGCGTCTCTACGGCGCAGCTTGCGGCGTTACTTTACCCTGAAAGCGTAGTTGCGGCCATCGAACATGCGTGTTACCTTGAGTCCGGTACAGCTTCCAGGCTTGGTTTGTCGACGCAAGGCACCGAGGCCACGCTCCCGCATGCATTGTCTTGCTCCACGCATCGCTATTTCATGGAGGTCGAGCTAGCAGACCCGCATCAGCAGGTTAGTGCGGAAATTGATGCTTCATTGCCCATGGATTTGCAAGCACTTCTCGTCCAAGTCCAGGCGCATGCGAGGTCCCTGCGTGCGAAATTGCCACGCTGCGCATTTGGGACAGCAGTGCTCCATGGCCGCAGACTGGCGCACTCCCTGTAAACTTCCTTGACAGCAGCTTGGGTCATTCGCCCTTACAGTAACTGTTACCACAATGGGTCACAGGAGCTACAAGAACCCCCTTACTAAGGCCTCTTTCAGCACAGTTACTGGGAGGGGCAATGACCCAAACAGCAACCCAGTATCCGGCAGTCATTATGGTAACTTAAGCCCAAAAACTTATATACCCTATATACCGTAGATACCCTATATACCTTAGATGCCCTAAGTTCCTTGACAGCAGCCCTAAACC